TTTAGAGTTTTAGCTGCTATATTATGTCTCTGATCCACTTTGAGTTCATTTTTTTTTATGGTGTGAGGTAGGAGTCCAACTTTATCTTTTATATGTGGATATATCCAATTGTCCTAGCACCTTTTGTCGAAAGACTGTTCTTTTCCCATTCAGTGGTCTTGGCCTCTTATTTGAAAATTGACCATAAATGTTAAGGTTTACTTCTCAACTCTCGATTCTATTCCACTGATCTAAAATTGACCCTTGATGATGTGAGGATTAGGGCCACCAACCCCCGTGCAGTTGAAAATCTGCATATAGCTTTTGGTTCTCTAAAAACTTTGTAGTAATAATGTACCAAAGCTTTACCAATAACAAACAATTGATTAGCACATATTGTATATGTTATATATATTGTATACTGTATTCTTACAATAAAATAAGCTATGAAAAAAATGTTATTAAGAAAATCAAGAGACTATGATGAGTGCTGTGAAGTGTAAACCTGGCGATTCACAGACCTGTACCTCTGAGGCTAATAATACATTATATGTTAATAAAAAAAATCAAGAGAGAGCAAATTCACAGTACTCTATTGTAAAATATCCATGCATAAGTAGATCTGCACAGTTCAAACCCATGTTATTCAAGGGTCAGTTATATATATCTCCTTTTTCTATTGTTCATTTCTAATTTAATTCTTTTGTGGTAGGAGAGCATACTTTGATTTCAATTCTCATAAATTTATTGAGATTTATTGTATAATATAATATGTGGTTTGCTCTGGAGATTTTTTGCATGTGTGTTTGAAAAGAATGTATATTTTACTCTTATTAGGAGTGTTCTATAAATGGCAGTTAGGTTAAGTTGGTTGGTTGTATTGACCAAGTTTTCCAGATTCTTTTTGCTTTTCTGTCTAGTTGTTCTCTCCATCACTGAGAATGGGGTATTAAAGTACTCTACTGTTGTTATTGAACTGTTTATTTCTTTCCAGTTTTCTCATACTTAAAAAAATATCCTTCTTTGTATCTAGGAACATTTTTGTCTTAGGTTGCTTTTTTAGAATTTAGAAGACTGGGGGACACTCATTTCCCCATTCTCCTTAATTGTTTCTTCTTATCCTTACAGTTTAGGAAACCAGGTGACCAAATGTGTTAGAATTACTATACCAGAGCAACACTACTATTTTTATATTCGAATTCTGAATAAGATTTATATTTTTCTTATTCTTTTTTTTAAGAGTTTATTTATTTATAAGAGACACAGAGAGCAAACACAAGCAGGCGGCAGTGGGATGGGGATAGGCAGAGGCAGAAGGAGAAGCAGGCTCCCTGCTGAGCAAGGAGCCCATGCTGGGAGTAGATCTCAGGACTCTGGGATCATGCCTGAGCCGAAGGTAGATGCTTAGCAACTGAGCCCACCCAGGCGTCCCAATATTTAGTTTTTAAAAAGAGGTTATGCAGTTAAAAATGTTTGAAGGCTTTTTCCGACTTAAATTCTCCAATTTTATGTATTTTTGTCTCCTTAGAGGTCTTTTTATCTTACTTATGGATCTCTGTTCTTGAGGTTTCTGGATAAGTGACCTTTAGTGAAGTAAAGTGAATTAGACTCTTCTTTCTTAAGAATATCCTACCTAAAATGTTTATATTTGGAGAATGTGAGTGAAGGGTATACTGGATTCTTTGTATATTCTTGCAGGGTGTTTTTTTTTCCAAGTCTAAAATTATGTTAGAATAAGTTAAAGAAAAAAATCTCTGCCTCAGTGAGGCATTGTTAGATACTTTTTCTCACTTGCAGGCAGTACTAGTCTTAGTAGATGACTTAAAGTGCATTGATTTGGCAGTGTAACCTCACAGAATACTTCTTAGCTTTGGTATTAACATAGTTACTTCCTAGTCCTGTCATCTGATAGGCACATTTCTGGGAATTTTTATAGGCTTTTCTTTTGCCTCACAACCATATTCACTTAGATATAAATCTTGCATTTAGTATTTGCTTAACATGTCTTGAGTCTGTCCCTCTTGCCACTGTTTTCACTGAAACCTTAGCATCTCTTTCCTGGATTGTGACAGTAGCTCTCTAACTGGTCTCCCTGTTTTACATTGTATGGCATAGAAATCCTTAGTGACTATCTGCCTCTCTGTCCTCATCACGTGCTTCTAATAAGTGAGTAAACTATTATTCATGGTACCACTTATATGCACTTATTCCATACTGTTTTATGACTTTGCTTGTGATCTTCTCTTTGCTTGGACCAGCTAATTTTCTTTCTTTAAAACTCAGTTTGGGGATCTTTCCCAGGAAACCTTTCTTAGAGTATCTGACTTCAGGTTTTTGCATGTACATATACAATAGTCCTAGCACCATTTGTTGAAAAGACTGTTCTTTATTGAATTTTCTTGGCACCCTTGTTGAAAGTTAATCAACTATGAATATGTGGGTTTTTTCTGGACTGTTTATTTATACTCCCTTTATCTATACCTCTTTATGCCAGTGTCACACTGTCTTAATTTTATAGCTTTGTAGTAGGTTTTAAAATTGGAAAGGGTGAGTCTTCTAACTTTGTTCTTTTTCAAAATGGTTTTGGTTTTGGCTCTTCTGGGTCCCTTGTAGTTCTGTATGAATTTTAGGATCAGTTGGTGAATTTCTGCAAAGAAACCAGCTGGAATTTTGACAGGAATTGTGTTAAATGTGTAGAACAATTTGGGGTGTTTCTCCTCATTTTGTTTTAGTTCAGGGTTGGTTTTCTTCAGTTTTTCAAATTTGGTATTTCTGTGTATGCTTCGTTTGGCATAACAAATTGTGCCTTTTGAGGCATATAACATGATAATGGGTATATAAGCTTAACTTTGTGATGCATGTTTGTGGTGGGAAGGGAGAATTTTCTTACTGGTAGTTTTACCATTTTTGAAACAAGGTTTTGCCTTATGAATTCCACGTATTTCCACACATTCATTGTGGAAAGTTTTAGAAAATACAAGAAAGCAGAAAGTTAATTCTGCCATTCAGAGTTCATATAGTGTGTACATATGTGTATGGAAGCTTGTTGTGTATATTTCTTTTTTCATTTATCTGTATAACATATAGGCAATGTCTTTTCATCTCACTAAAAACTGTGGTGTTTTTCTTTTTTTTTTTTTAATATTTTTGTTTTTTAAGTAGGCTCAATGGCCAGCATGGGGCTTGAACTCATGACCCTGAGATCAAGAGCTCTATGCTTTACTGACTGAGCCAGCCAGTCACACCCAAACTTCAGTGTTTCTTAATGCTGTGTCACATCTCATTTTATTTAACTAAACCTCTATTAGGCTTATGTTTAGGATAGTTTTTCCAAATTATAAGTGCTATAGTTAAATCTTTGCCCAGATTCTTGACTATTTTCTAAGGCAAGTTCCTATAAGTGGAATTGCTGGTTCAAGAAGATGCATATTTTTGGGGCGCCTGGGTGGCTCAGTGGATTAAAGCCTCTGCCTTCGGCTCAGGTCATGATCCCGGGGTCCTGGGATCGAGCCCCGCATCGGGCTCTCTGCTCGGCAGGGAGCCTGCTTCCTCTTCTCTCTCTCTCTGCCTGCCTCTCTGCCTACTTGTGATCTCTATCTGTCAAATAAAAAAAAAAAAAAGAAGATGCATATTTTTAAGTCTTTTTTGCCATTTTTTTAGTATAGTGATATTTGAAAGCCATTTCTTTATGTTATTATTTGAGGGTAAGCTCATTAACAAGTATTTACATTATTTGGAACTACCATTAGATGTTCATATAGCATTATTCACCGTGGTTATTAAAAGGATAAAAAAAGGCAAAAACAAAAAACCAATCCATTGACCAGATGAATGGAAAAACAAAATGTGGTATACCCACACAATGGAATATTGTCGAGCCTTAAAAAGGAATGCAATTCTGATACATGCTACAACGTGAGTGAACTTTAAGCATTATGTGAAGAGAAATAAGCCAGACATAAAAGGACAAATATTGTATGATTCCACTTATATTGAAGTACCTAGAATAAGCAAGTTCATAGGGACAGAAAGTAGTACAGAGATTACCAGAGGCTGGGGAGATGGGGAGTTTAACGGATATAGAATTTCAGTTTGGAATGATGAAAGTGTTCGGGAAATGGATGGTGGTAGTGATTGTACAACATTGTGAATGTACTTAATGCCACTGAATTGTACGCTGAAAAATGGTTAAATGGCAAATTTGATATTAAGTATATTTTACCACAATAAAAATACTGCAGTTGGAGTAATTTCAGAATTTTAGATAAAAATCACTCACTGAGAAATTATGTGCTTATTTTACTTATTGTGTATTACCTTGTAGCTAAGTGAGCTCTAGTTTTGAATACTTGTTTTATTTTTTATTTTTTTATTTTATTTTTTTTAAAGATTTTATTTATTTGACAGAGAGAGAGATCACAAGTAGGCAGAGAGGCAGGCAGAGAGAGAGAGGGGAGGAAGCAGGCTCCCTGCAGAGCAGAGAGCCCGATGCGGGGCTCGATCCCAGAACCCTGGGATCATGACCTGAGCCGAAGGCAGAGGCTTTAACCCACTGAGCCACCCAGGCGCCCCTGAATACTTGTTTTATTTTTATTTTTTTGAATACTTGTTTTAAATGTGATGGATTGATAGCTGGTGCTGAGAACTAAGTTCCTCATCAACATTCATGCAATATGAAGATTTATTGAGCTCTGTATGCTAAGTAGTCTGCTAGGCACTGAGGACTACAGTGGTAAACAAGATAAGACACAGTCCCTAGAGTCTCCTGGTTGCTAAGATTGGACAGAAAAAGAACAAACTTCTTATTAAGAAAAAAAGGGATTAAACAATCAGGTGACTTGTTTTCTCCTTAATGATTTCCTTTGTGGGGTGATTTTAAAATATCCTTTTTCCCCCCCTTCAGGTTGCTATGGAAACATATGACTAAATAAACGGAAGTCCATTCTGATAATTCTGATACCTGAGATGTAACTGGACTAAAGAGTGGAACAGGAAAAATTTTAGTGCCAACCTCAATTACAATGGCTACTGATTCAGGAGAGCCAGCTAGCACAGAAGATTCTGAGAAACCTGATGGAGTTTCATTGGAAGACAGAGCTCCTCAGCTTGCAGCAACTTTGACAGTGGAAGCTAGACTAAAAGAAAAAAATAGTACCTTCTCTGCTTCTGGGGAAACTACAGAAAGGAAGAGATTCTTCCGAAAGAGTGTTGAGATGATGGAAGATGATAAAGTTGCTGCATCTTCCTCCAAAGATGAGAGAATGAAGACCACAACCAATATTCCAAGAGTAGAAAAACTTCCTACAAATGTGCTAGGAGGTGGACAAGAAGTTAAATATGAACAGTGTTCAAAGGCAACTTCAGAGTCCTCAAAAGATTGTCTCAAGGAGAAAAGTGAAAAGGAAATGGAAGAAGAAGCAGAAATGAAGGCTGTAGCTACTTCTCCTAGTGGGAGGTTCCTGAAATTCGACATTGAGCTGGGAAGAGGAGCATTTAAAACAGTATATAAAGGATTGGACACTGAAACATGGGTTGAGGTTGCTTGGTGCGAGCTGCAGGTGGGTATATAATCTTCTTGGTCTTAATAAATTCCAGTTTTAGCATGCCTGGCCTTCTGAGGGGTCCAGGGTTAATACATATCATGGATTAAAATAAAATGAAAGGCTTGTCCACTACCTCCCTGAAATTATGCTCTTTTCCTAGATCCTCTTAGGAGCTCATGGCAGCCTTTTTTTCCTCCTGTTTTTTTTTTTTAATATTGTATATATTTTTAAAGATTTTATTTATTTATTTGTCAGAGAGAGCACACAAGCAGGCAGAGAGGCAGTCAGAGGCAGAGAGAGAAGCAGGCTCCCTGCTGGACAAGGAGCCCGATGCGGGACTCGATCCCAGGACCCTGGGATCATGACCTGAGCTGAAGGCAGCAGCTTAACTGACTGAGCCACCCAGGCGTCCCTTCCCCTCCTGTTTTAAAGGGGGAAAAATTTATCAATGCTTTCTTTGGAAAAATGTTCTCAATTTATTAACGTTAGGAAATCCCCAAAACTCTTGAGGTCTCATTTTGAAAACTTTTAGTAAGTTTTAGTTAGTTGCATTATTAGTTAGTTAATTGTTCTACTAAGTATTTGGGAGTGTGATACATCAGGGATGCACGATACCTCCCTTTTCTCTTTTTCTTTAAGCAAATTTTTTGGGGTTCGTATGGTGTTTTTCAGAACAGAAAATATTATGCTTGATTCTTTGATGACTTCTTTTTTTTTTTAGAAAGTATTTTTTTTGATTTTTATTTATTTGAAAGACAGAGATCACAAGTAGGCAGAGAGGCAGGCAGAGAGAGAGAGGAGGAAGCAGGCTCTCCGCTGAGCAGAGAGCCAGATGCGGGGCTCTATCCCAGGACCCTGGGATCATGACCTGAGCCGAAGGCAGAGGCTTTAACCCACTGAGCCACCCAGGTGCCCCGATGACTTTTGTTAATATAGACTTGTCCATGCTTTAAATTTACCTCAGAGAGGATCTCTGGAAGAAATAATCACCAGAACCTACTGAGGTTAGTCAACTGGAATGTGTTCACAAAGGAGAAATGAAAACAACAGGAGATTGAATTTCCTCAGTATTTGGTTCCATATTTGTGTGGTACTTTTAACTAACGAAGGACTAAATGGGGACAGAACATCATAGAAGGGGTTATAATAAGAATAGTTTTAGACAGATATAGTTCAAATATAAAGAAAACCTTTGTGACCTCAGTCAGCCCATGGAAAATGTCACTGTTCACATGAGATGCTTAAAATTAAGATTGAGTAGAGCAAGTCACTTAGTACAGGTTTTTGTTGTTATTCAGATACCTGTGGTCTCTCCATATGGATGTGGATGTAGGTGCTGTGATTTCACCCATTCTGAATTTGCTGTAGGTTGCCATTTAGATAGGTTGAAATTTAGTCCAGGTCCCTGCATTTCTAGGGAGCTTTTTGTTAAACAACATGGTTTTGAAACTTCACCATCTGTAACAGTTAGTGTTTCCTTCATATGTGGATTCCAGAGCCTATTGTCAAAGATTCATATTCAGTAAGTCTGGGGTGGAATGCAAGACTGCAATTTTAACAAGCTTTCAAAGTGCTTTGAAAGTGCTTGGCTCTCTGGAATGCAAGTTACCTAGCAGTCAAGCCATTCTAGTAGTTCTCCAAAGATGTGTGCATGTGTGGGTTTGCTTGGTTTTCTTTTCACCACCTTGTTCCCCTTTCGGAATTTTATAAGGTCTGTGTTGTAGTGCAAATATTAGGTCATGTGAACAAATAAATATCAAAATCACCTGAAATTCCACCATTTTGAGGATGCTTTTAAACGGTATATATCTTTCTGGGCTCTTTTTTTTTTTTTTTTTTCAAATGTGTACATGACTGTTTTTTTCCCCCACAAAGTGGGATTGTTACTATAAGGTTTTACAAAACCTTTTGTTTTTACTTATGAACATCTTTTCATTACCAGTAATCGTGAATTAAATTATTATTTTTAATAGATACCTTTATAAGTTATTTAATCAGTCCTCTATTATTGGACATCTAGAATTTTCTCCACTATTTCACTATTGTAAACATGGTTGTGACCAACATCCTTGTATATATAGTGAAAATTATGTACATTTTAATTTCATCTCTACATTGTGCCATTGGTAACACTCATCTTTTAGTGATACTCTGTAAATGGGGGAAATAGTTTCCATTCACTTGGTAGTAGGATACATAGTAAAAATATGTCAAGTATTTTGCAAATTGTATACTCTAGCTATGCTAAAGGATGCTTAGGTAAAACTTAAAACATTCTAGTCGTGGACCACTTAGGGAAGAGCCTTCTATCATTCACCTGTGGAGAGAGTGAAAGAGCCTGTAAGGTCTTAGTATTAAAAGTGTGGTCCCTGGACCAGCAGCATGGACATCACCTGGGAGCTTGTTAGAACTACAGGTTCTACGTCTCATCCCAGACCTACTGAATCAGAATCTGCTTCTTAGTGACATCCGTAGGTAATTTGTATGCACAGTAGTATTTGAAAAGCCCTGAAAGAAGGGACCACCAGTCTAAGAGCTAGCTGAATCAGAGGAATTCCCTTAATACACCAACATATGCTTTATATTATATCATAGATACTGATTCCTGCTGTCTGCTCCAGACTTTCCAAATCAGAATCTCTAAGAGATGGGCCCTAGGAACTTATTTTTTAAAAGTTGCCCAGGTGATTGGACACATAGCCAGATTTGGTAATATCCATGTGGAGCAAATGCTGTAAATATATAAAATACATTTTAACTTACATCAAGAACAATTGCAGTTTTTGTCAGAATTGGTGGACTTAATTGATACAATTTTTAGACATCACTTCATTTTCTGCATATTTGGAATTAGGAAAAACATGAATATTATGCAGTTTGTAATGTATAATTTCTCATATTTTTTTCACAAAGTCATCTTTGTTACATAATTAAACAATTTTGTAGAAAAACATCCCAGTCAATAATTTAAATGTTTAAAGTATTCCAAATTCTTCTCCACTCTTTGCTTATATGTGTGTGTGTCTGTGTGTATAATATATAAAATTAGTATGTCCATACTTTTGTTATCAATTTGATATGTATTTTCTATTTGTTAACTTCACTAAAATATTTATATTTTATTGCATTCATGTCACCTCTTGCTTAAATCTGCTTCCCTGAAATTAGGCAGTTCAATTAAAAAAATTTTTTTTGCATGTTTGATTTAACAGCTTAACAAAGGACTTTTATACCTTTTTCTCTTGATGACATTTTCCCCCCACTGTGGATATTTGAGCCTTGTGTAACGGTTGTTAAAAGCTCCATATCCATTTGTTTAGAATACATTGACCTTATGGCAGTGCAAAGAACCAGGAGAGAGAGATTTTACTGCTGATATTTGACTTTGAGGATGTTAAACAAACCCTTTGATGATGTAGGTCTGATTTAGGATTTGGCTGTAAATGTCTGCATTTCAACAGTTTGTCATATTTTATGGTTTCCATAACTTTATCTATGCACTAGTGGGAAGGCTGACCGATTGTTCTTTCTAAAGAATTTGCTAAACTACTTGGTAAATTGGTAATTTACTGTGAGTGAGGGTTATCAGTCTTAAGTGCTGTTTGGAAGACTGTTAGTTTATGATGTTGAAAGACCTGGTCAGATGTTACTGAAAGGCTTGTTTAGTAACCCCCTAGAAGGAGTCAGTCACAAAAATTTGTAGTATTTTCTTCCCCTACCAGCTTGAGAATCAACAGCACTGTTCTTTTACACATGGAAACATAACCAGTTTTTGCTTTACTCTAATTTGGAAAAAATACTTCCACTAGTGCATTTGTCATTTGTTTTCTTGATGGAATTGAGTTTTCATATAATGGGACTATTTTCCAAATAAAGGGACATCATAGATATCTGAAAATTTTTTTGTTATTTGACTGTTTCTAAAATGTATTTGAGTGTTATAATAAGCTTCACTGTGGGGTCAGATATGTGATTGCGTGCTTCTCAGTGTAATTAAATGGGCCTCCTTTTTTACTTTAATTTTTTTTAAAATTTTAAAATTTTAGTCACCATATAATTAACGTACAGTGTAGTATTAGTTTCAGTATAGTGTACAGTATAGTGATTCAACAGTTCATCACCTGGTGCTCATCAGGACAAGTATGCTCCTTAATCCCCATCTTCTATTTAATCCATCTCGTTACCTGCCTCCCCTCTAGTAATTATCAGGTTTTTTTTGCCTATAGTTAGTATCTGTTTCTTGGTTTTGCCCTCTTTTTTCCCTTTGCTTGTTTATTTCTTAAATTCCCTGTATGAGTGAGATCATATGGTATTTATTTTTCTCTGACTTATTTCACTTAGCATTATACTCTCTAGATCTTAATGGGCCTCCATCTAACAACTAGACATCTAGCGAGTCTGGCTATAGGGTCTGAACTGAACCAAAAATGGCACTGAAGAAGAGATTTTTTAAAAAAAGATTCAGTTGACTGTAGCGAGTTAACATGCTGAGTGAGCATTCTAATGCACTTTCTTTATAGTAGTGAATATATTCAGAGCAATGCAATGGAAGTAGCAGTCTAAAAATCTATACTTCCACACCCAAAGCACCTATCATAATTGTGGAGAAACTTCTTTCCATTTTATTTTCATTCAGCATCTAAAAGCACTTTGGGGGGGCGCCTGGGTGGCTCAGTGGGTTAAGCCTCTGCCTTTGGCTCAGGTCATGATCTCAGGGTCCTGGGATCGAGCCCCACATCGGGCTCTCTGCTCAGCAGGGAGCCTGCTTCCTCCTCTCTCTCTCTGCCTGCCTCTCTGCCTACTTGTGATCTCTCTCTCTGTCAAATAAATAAATAAAATCTTTAAAAAAAATAAAAATAAAAGCACTTTGGGGATGTATATTTTTTAATACCAGCCCTACATTTAATTGTAAAATTAGAATTAGATAATAATATGTAAGCAGTTGAATTTCCAAAAGAAAAATTAAAAAAAAGTTAGAATTTCTGTTTCTGAATAAATATTGTGGTCCAAAGTAT